TCCTCAGAAACCAGAGGCATTGACTTCTGGAGCTGGAGTTAGAGACAGCTGTGAGTTGTCTGATGCCGGGGCTGGACCGTAAACACAGGTCCTCTGCAAGAACAATGTGCTGTGTTAACTGTTGAGCCATCGCTCCAAGTCCCAGCTCACTGTTCTTTGAAAATTTATCACTTTTGCATGCATCTAAGGAAAAGGAAGGTGTTTTGCCTAATTTGGTAAAATAAGCATTGTGGTTTGCTGGCTTAGACATGACATTTGGTTTCTCTCTTTCCTGCAGACTATTCAGTGTGGCTCTGAGCCTGGTAAGTGCACTGGAGAATGGGTATTTGGAAGCACAGGTGGACAGTAAGGTCTGAGTCAGGAAGAGGGTTCTGGTAGACCAGGCACATGGTGATAATACATTGCCTTGTTAGCTAATGGGAGTGAAGTTTTCAAGGCAGAATGAGGAGTAAGGGTGTGTTTGAGATGAGCTGGCCTCCCAGTAAATTAACACACAGGTAGAGTGGAACTCACCAGTCTGAGTGGGAAGCAGTACCTGATTCTACAGAGGCACACTGATTGTGCTGGGAGGGGCCATACCATTGATTATTGGGACTAGGAAGCAAGTTTTTTATACATGGGTCCCCAACATGGTACTTTGAAGATTGAGTGGGTTTTGTCCAAGAAATGTGAATAGGGAGAGTGAGCAGGAGGGGAGGGGAACGGTTTAGAAATGGTTATGGTGAGGGCTAGCTGACTGGAGTCCAGGACTGAGGCATGGAGAAAGCATGATTCATGTTAGTGAACATGTCAAATACACTAAACATACATCCACACGTACATGCACACATATGCACCTGGAACACCGCAAGTACTGTAGAGTTTGAGACCACGAGGCTGAGAGAAATTATTTAGATGTATAAACCAGCCAGCATCCAGAAGAAGCCTGGCTTTCCTTAGCAGAAGTGGGTTGCGATGGATCAGGGCATATCACTTGGAGGAAATAGCTTCTGACTGCGCCTGAAATGGGAGTGCCATTGGAAGTATTCTTGCCTTTCCCCAGGGCCATCTCCAGAGTGGATGGTGCGGCACAATCTCACCCCAGGAGACTTGAGGAGCCTCCAAGTGGAACTTGTTCAAAAAGGGGCTGCAAAAGAGGATATTTCAATTTTGATGAACATAAGCTGGATTCTCCGGGCAGATGGTAAGTCTGCTTCAGTCAAAGCATCTACTAAGCCCGAAATGTGACGGACATAGGACCCATTAATTCTACTTCTAGGCACAGACCACAGATGTGCATACACCAAAAGCCACATCATAGGATGTGTACAGTAACACTGTTGTTCATAACAGCATCCAGGTGACCAAGAGCCTGAAAAAACCACAGAGTGGAAACTATGGAACTCAGCAACGAGAATTCTTTCTGTGTGTGTGACAATATGAATGGACCAAGCAACCAGACTCCAAAGAGCTACATAGTTGTATCTGTAATCATGCCTATGGTCGCACACAGAAGAACAAAACCAAACTAGAGGTTTGAAGCCAGGATGGGAGTTTGAGGGCTGCTCTGGCTTGGAAGTAATTGAAAGAAAATACAGGCAGCAAGTGGGGGTGAGTGGTTCTTGCCCTCTGCCAGTTGTAAAATGTCCAAGGTCACTGAGGAGCAGTGAACTCTGCAGTCACACTTCGAGATGGGTCCCCTAGTTTAGGAAAAGCTCTGGCTTCGGCTAATTATCCACTTCCAAATGACGTCATGAAAGTCCTGGCATTTCCTCCAGATTATATAGTAAGCAACATGTAAGTTCCTTAGACAAGCCAGTCCTGGGATCCTAATGCCTATGCTCGTGGGTTCCATTCGCCAACATTATACTTGGTTTTGTCAAGACTCCATTTACCCAGCACCTGGGAGACTGAAACAGCGAAATTGCTGCAAGTTTGAGACCAGCCTGGGCTATTTACTGGATTCCAGGACAGTGGGATACAGGATGAGAACTTGTCTCAAAAAACTCAAAGTGGTCCATTTATCTGGAAAAAGGAGTCAATGACAGGCTTCATCAGTACGTTTTTCAGAATAGTAGCAATGTCAAGGGATGCCCCAAGGGGAGCTGTGCTCTATGTGAGGACCAGACAGACCAGGGCAGGGCTCCAGAAGACTCCTGTGAGATGCTACAGTAGGCTCTGGCCCCACACCAAGCAGGGCGAGGTCTTTGGTCGATGTTATGCACCTTAAAGTAAACTTGGAAAGGGTAGAGATAGAGAAAGAGACCCATGAGAAAGAATGGCCAGCATGGACCTAGTGCAGTTAAAACAGGTATGGTCTGGTGCTGATGCTTGGGCAGTCTTTGTAGAAGGAAAAAAGCAATCAAAGCTAAAGCCTGAAGCATCTTCTAAAACCAAACTATGCAGTGCATAGGACCCATTAATTCCATCCCTAGGCACATCTGGAAGAAGAACCTATACATACACATGCACTGGAAGACAGGCGTAGGATATGCACAGCACTCTAAGCAATTCATCTCCTTCAAGAGACCTAGAATGGGGCAGATGGCATCACTAGCCATGGGTACTTTGTATAACTCAGGCCAACCAAGAATGAGTAGAGCTTGGGCTTTGAAATTTGGGTTTGTATCTACTGCTGCTGAGCTGTGAAAGTTCAGGCAGTGTATCCCCCCAAGACTCCTGAAGGCCCCCCCCCATTTACCCTATCTGAACATTGGATACCACAGTACACACCAGCTGAGATGAAGCATTGACATTATAGAATACTATGTGAGCCACATAAGTGCCAATGAAACAACTTCCTACTTCATTGTCTCTGCAGCCAGCATCCGCCTGTTGAAGGCCACCAAGATCTGTGTGACTGGCAAAAGCAACATGGAATCATACAACTGTGTGAGGTGCAACTATACAGAGCCCTTCCAAAGGCAGACCAGACCGTCTGGAGGCAGAGTAAGCACGCTTAGGCACAAGGCTTGCTTGGGAAGCATCAACAATGGACCTCAGAAAGCCTGCTGATGCAGAGTGAGATGCCTGCTTGGGTTTGGGTTTGAGCACCACTTGCCCTGGGGATGCCAGCATCTTTGAGACTCAATGTCCAACAGAGTGAGGGGAGCTAGACGTAAATTATATCTGTCCTCTAAAATGCCCCTCCTCTCTCACTCTGAGTTATATCAACAAACTGGGCTGGATCCACTCCCTGCATAGACACTGGCCAGAGACCTGTTTCAGCTGGAGCGTAGAGATGAAATGAAAAATGAAAAGGGGGACTGTTAAGCCTGATAACCTGAATTCAGTCCATAGGACATACAGAAAGAACAGATCCTTCAAGTTGTCCTGATCTGCACACACACACACTATGGCATGATCCCCCACTAGCATGTATACATACACACACACACACACACACACACACACACACACACAC